GAAACTTAAGAAACTACTGGCTGGACATTGACCTAGATGTGTTTGTCGTGTTCCTCCTGTTTATGTGGCATAAATGCTCCCAGCATAAAACAAACAAACAGACAAAGAAAATAGACAAAAGTTGTCAGACCTCATCGGACAGGGTAAAAGCAGGCCAGTGTCATGGGTTTGGTTTTGCGACCAGCTGTAAGAACCTCCATCCTATTTCCGTCTATGCTGTGTTCGTCTGACTGAGACATTCGAAGACATTTGCGTTTCATGCAATATGAGAGAAACCATCTTTCTGTTTGGGGGAAAACAGGGCATTTTGATTTCCAGATCCTTCACAAAAAGCCCAAACGCTCAATTTGGGACTCATTTTGACACATATACTGTAGATCCTTATTGACCCTAAATGAATGAAATCAGTGCGTCCTTCTCGACTCTTTTTAAATCATGAGAAAAATACACAAACAGAATTTGACAAATGATATTTAGGGATAACTATTTTTTTTGTTATGTGGCTTGAATGACAAAACTTGTCTGGAGGTTTCATAAGACCGTGTAGTTGTTTATTGGACTCCTTGTTTATCGCAGTCTATTGGATAGAACTGTAGAAATAAAAATTTAAGTACAAAAACGTTTTTTTATATGCACCAAAATAAAAGCATGGGTTGACTCTATGATGCTGTCTCTTGTTTCCTCTGAAAATATCCTGCAATCTTTCTATAACCAAATCTATGATTTGTTTAGTTTTATTTTATTCTTAAATGAAATTTTTTTTAGATGGACTGTTCAAGTTACATTTGGCCTGATCTGATTGTGTGTGTGTGTGTGTGTGTGTTTATTAAATATATAATTTTCTAATAATATAATTTATTTTTATATACAGTTTTTATTCATTTTTATTCCAGTTTTAGTTATTTTAGTATGTCAAGATAGACTAAATGAAAATGACAAATGTTTTCTTTTCTTAGCAGCTAGCTGAAATAAAATAAGGTTTTAAGTTTTTTATATTTTATTTTATTTCAGTTCACGTTTATTTTATTTCAAGTAGCACTTTTTATGGTGTTAGTTTACTATAATAACCCTGGTTCGGACTGATTTTTTATTTGATTTTATTTAAAATAAAAGAACGAAGATACAGATTTAGTAGCAGCTGTCTGTACGGGATCATGTGAAAGACTGGATCTAGAGAAGAGAACCACTTCAAGGCCACATTTATTTTTTCTCATACTTTTAGCTTTCGCAGTCATTTTCTGTACACGCGGTCACAGACAAACATATCCAACTGACTCACCAGCAAAATGCGAGTACAACATCCTCTCAATCTATTACACATTAGTTAGACAAGTAGGTAGAATTTATAAATTTGCAGAAGTTTATAATTCCCCTGAGAGACATGGGAATGATTGCGGAGCATCTTTGCTAAAATTACTAATAGGAGAGATATTGCAGTGCAGGGAATACAGGTACACTAACAACCCCTGAAAAAAGACCTGTATACTGGTATAATGGTATAAAGGAAGGACAAGTTTTGACACTTGTGTTTGGCACAATCTTGCTAGTTTGCTATGTCATTAACACCAAAAAACTAGGAGTTAAAGCCAGGTCAAAGATTTGAGGTTCAGTAACTTATTCTGTGTCAAAGACGGAAGCTTGGCAACAGCACTCAAGCCACAGAAGCAGACGGCCTGGACGGTGGACGGTGAACTCTAGCAGCTACAGTCAGACTGCTGCGGGGGCGTCAGGTTGTCCGTCAGTCTGGTAGTGGGCGTTCCTGTGGTGACGGCGGGGTCGGCCTCAAGTGTGTCTGACATCTTGTCGCAAATGACGTCCACCAAGCGTTCAAAAGTCTGCGTGACGTTGATGTTGTCCTTTGCGCTTGTCTCAAAAAACTCAAATCCTTTTCGGAAAGAGAGATTGGTAAGTATGATATGTAAAGGAAATACACACTAGCTTTCAAAAGTTTGAGGTCGGTAAGATTTGTACGTTTTTAAAGTCTCTTATGCTCATCAAGACTTCTATTATGTGATCAAAAATGAGATTTATTCATGTGATGGAAAATCAGATTTTTAAGCTGCCATTACTCCAGTCTTGAGTGTCACATGATTCTTCAGAAATCATTCTAATACGTCAATTTGATGCTCAAGACAACATTATTATTATCAATGTTGAAAACAGTTGTGTTTCTTAATGTGTTTGGGGAAACCGTGATGCATTTGATGAATAGAAAGTTCAAAAGAACAGCATTTATTTGAAATATAAATCTTTTGTAATGTTATAAATGTCTTTTCTTTCCAGTTTGATCAATTTACTGTGTTCCTTTCAGAATAAAAGTCTTGATTTCTTTCAAATCTTTCTAACCCCAAACAATATATTTGCTCAAAACTAATCAAATTTAAAAATATATATCATATATAAATACATATACATATATATCGGTATTGGCATTGGATATCGGCTAAAATGAGTTTTAAAATATTGGCATTTTAGATATCAGCAAACATCCAATTTTGTACATATGTTATATATATATATATATATATATATATATATATATATCTTTACTATATACTTTATATATATATATATATATATATATAAATATATCTTTTTTACTCACCCAGCTGTTCTGCTAGCAGTCTCCCGCTGTCCACAGACACTATCCTCTCTTCCTCCATGTCGCATTTGTTTCCTGCGAGGATCACCTGGGCATTGTCCCAAGAGTATGTCTTAATCTGGGTCGCCCTGACACAAGACGAGACAAAAGCGAGCAGACATGCCTGTCATCAGGACAAATGCCACTGATACATCCTCCAGCACAAGATGTGCCAGACTCATACCAAAACTTTTGACAGTTTTATCGTATGAATATGTCATCATGCCACACAGAATCAATGGAAACGTCGTGTCGAACACACTTCTTCAGACTGTGTCCCTCTCTGTTCCTGTTTCTCATCTCTACAGCAGCATGTTCCTTGCATTTTCTAATCCAGAAATGTAATGGCACTTTATTACTACAGTGTATTTTGGGGGTATTTGTACTCAAGTGATACAATTTCCTTCAAGACCACTTTAAGTATTATGTTATGTTTCGCAGGTCATTATGACTTAAATCTTTTTCTCTTGTACAAAAAGTATTTTTCATCTTACTAAACTAACAAGATAAATCAAGCTCATGTGTAATTTAGAGGAACAGTAAAATATTTTTCACACATTGCTATTGTATGACTTCAGAAGACTTGAAATACAGTCCACAATTTCCTTTCTAGAAAGTTACTGGAATGACATGAATAGGAGTAAACGATGACAGAATTTGCATTTAATTTGTAATAAAACTAAAATGATTATATTATAAATTATACCTTTAAACAATATTTGTTTTCCTAAAATAACTTTGACCATTTTGAGCACTGAACCATTCATTCTAAACTAAAAAAATGTATTTTATAAAGTTACTTTAATAAAATAATTTCTTTAAAGTATGGTTCACTCAAAAACGGAAACACCCTCATGCCGTTCCATGCTAATATGAGTTTCTTTTTTTTTTCTGTGAACACACAAAAGAAGATATTTGAAGAAAAGTGGGTCCATACATAGAACATCTTACCAATGTTCTTCAAAATAGCTTCCTTTAAGTTCTTATACAAGTTTAGAATGACATGAGGGTGAGTTAATAATTACATAATTTTCATTTTTGCATTAACTATCCCTTTAAGTTTGGTTTTGCTAAATTAAGAAAAAAATTTTATTTTGTACTACTAAAACTTAAGTAAAATTAAATTTAAACACTGTTTTATTCTCATGTTTTGGCTTTGACGCTAAAAAACAAGTGAAGTTTTTACACAAACCCATGTGATATTTCTGTACTTTCTATCTACTTTTTGAACTGTGCTCTGCTTTATAAAATCACTATGATATGTTCCTGATATGATTCCTGACGTTCATTTATAGATTTTGACTCCAGGATCGACAGGCATGAATGTCTCACGCTTTCAGGCAGACGGAAACACAGTGAAAAGCTCATGAATACTTCTTTTGAAAGCAGAAGCTCTGGCTGTCATAAGGCAAGATGTAAGCTTTAAATCCACTTACCAGTCCTGCACAGCAGCAAAAGACTCCTCGTTAGTAATATCATACATTAGGATGAAGCCCATGGCCCCTCTGTAGTAGGCAGTGGTGATAGTCCTGTACCTTTCCTGCCCAGCTGTGTCCTAAAAAATAACAAGACCAGCATTATTATATGTAAAAGTAGTCTAAAAAAGGAGTATGCCTAGATGTTTTATGAAGTCAAGATTTAGAAATACTTCACCCAAAAAATTAAATTTGCTTAAAATTTACTCAACCTCAGGCCATCCAAGATGTAGATGAGTTTGTTTCTTCATCGGAACAGATTTGGAGAAATTTAACATTATATCACTTGCTCACCAATGGATCCTCTGTAGTGAATGGGTGCCGTCAGAATGAGAGTCCAAACAGCTGATAAAAGCATCAGAATAATTCACAGGTAATCCACATGACTCCAATCCATCAATTAACATCTTGTGAAGTGAAAAGCTGCATGTTTATAATAAACAAATCCATCAATAAGAGGTATTTAACTTTAAATTATTGCTTCCAGCTAAAATACGAGTCCTCCATTCATTATATTGCTTTCTCCTGTGGAAAAGGTTAACTGATGGACTGGAGTCGTGCAGATTATTGTAATGCTTTTATCAGCTGTTTGGACTCTCATTCTGACGGCACCCATTCACTGCAGAGGATCCATTGGTGAGCAAGTGATATAATGTTAAATTTCTCCAAATCTGTTCTGATGAAGAAATAAACTCATCTACATCTTGGATGGCCTGACGGTGAGTATATTTTTAGCCAATTTTCATTTTGGGGTGAGCTATTCATTTAATTTAGTCTGGGACAGACAGTCAATACAACAAATGCGTGAAATGAATGAGCGCTCAAATCTGAGAAACGATCGAGACGGTGGTTTGTCACCTCTAAAAGTAGCAGCGCTTTCACTGAAAGACTAAAATAGAAAAGTGTGCCACGATCTGATGAACAGATCAGTTTTGCTGATGCTGACTTAAAGGCCTAGATAAGGTGACAATGGCTTATGTTCTCTTTCCATAAGCCAGTGTTAATCATCAGCCCATGTGATATTTACATTGCACCATATGTGATTATCCAACCCTTCAAAGCTTTACCAACCATGAAACATTGATGCTGAGTTAAAGAAGATTGAAAGTCTGTGTGGTTTTTGCAGTCGATGTGACAGAAATTACCCAGATCTGAAGCTTGATCCTTTTGTCGTTCTTATAGACAGTTTTGACCTTAAAGTCGATGCCCACTGTACTGACAAAGGCAGATGTGAAAGTATCATCAGCATAGCGGAAGAGGAAGGATGTTTTTCCAACGCTGCTGTTCCCAATGATCAACAACTTGAACATGTAATCAAAGTTTTGATCAGAGTTCTCCTTTTGTTTGTTGTCTTGCGTAGCAGCCATCTGTGAGAACACAAAGACACAGTGTAATGAATAGATCAAAGGTTTACAGCCTAACAATATTGTGTAAACTCTTAATATAGAAATGTAATTATAGTATGTCATATGTAGTTACATGATATTATAAACAGAGAGAGAGAGAGAGAGGCCTTCTGAATTTCATTAAAGTCTCAGTTCTCTCTGTGTGTTTTTAAGCAGGCTCCGTATGTCAGTCTGTCAAAGTCAGCACCAGGAGCTGTCCATGACTGTGTCTTGAAGCCTAGTGATTGTCCTACAGCATTTTTTAATATAACCAATTAAACCCATCTTTAACATTTGTAACTAAAATGTAATGTGTAAGTTTAAATGTTAATGTATTTTGCACAAGTTCTGAACTATAAATTAATGTATATATATATATATATATATACATATATATATATACATACACACACACACACACACACACACACACACACACACACAGTAATAAAAACAATTTTGACTCTTATTTTTGACTCTAAAATTGTGACCTAAAAAATCATAACATCATGTTTTAGAAACTTTATGTGCTCACATTTAGCTGGGAAAATTGCGATTAAATTGTTTAAAGGGATAGTTCACCCAAAAATGAAAATTCTGTCATCATTTAATCACCCT